ACAAGGAATATCAGAAAGCCAAGTCCTGACTGTAACGAAAGGAGGAGTTGGGGATGGAGGAGGATAATTTACTCCTGAGCAAGTGATAAAGCTGCGGAATAATAGGCTACTGAATAGACCTTATATAGGAATGCTTTGATAGGCGTCGTATTCCTATAGGTAGGCATGGATCAGCTGAGTGTCAGCCCAGCACTCCCTTTATAATAACTACAAAGCTGCCCCTCGATCTCATGAAGTTTTGTTATTCTGAGAGGATCCGCAAGCTTGCAAAACTCAGCACTGGACAATAACTATGGTCTTTTGATGGATTCTACCTTAAATGCCTCTGATTGAAAATTGCATTCAAGAAATCAACAGATATGTCTGCCATTGGCTACATTGTTCAACACTGCAAAAAAATGCAATGTAAATAGAAACATTTTGACGCTCTCCAAAGTGCAAACACAAATATGCTCTGGATAGTTTGCCAGATCTGTTTCGCCAATATGTCAGTGAATAGAGAATATCTCAAGATTTTCCCATGGGTGCTCAGTCATTCCTGTGGGTTCTCGAGCCCCCACCATGGGATCGGTGCCTATGACTGACAATGTATACTTGAATCCAATGTAACGCACCTTATGAAAATGTCTTTTTCCGAGGTATTGTTCATTGTCTGTAGTACAAATGGTGTTAATTGTTGAGACCCTACATTTTTACATTTATATTTATCCATTTAGCAGACTTACAATAGAGGAACATAAGCAATTTGTTATAGAGCCAACTACATGCATAGTATAATGCCAGGTTTATCATAAAGCTATAGGAAACAAGTTAGAGGTAAAAGGAAAAAGGGAAGATTTTTGAGAAGTTGTGAGGTTAAACACCACTAACAACATTTCATTAAGGGGTTGAGGGACATACACTAGCAAGAAAGTGCATAAGTTTGAGGGATCTTCTGCCGTTCTCTACTACACAGTCACTTATGTTCTCAGCTCAGACACAGAATCAGTTCAAGCCTGTGTTGAGACAACCCAAGGGTTCGACTAACCTATTTATCTCTTCATTCTATTTGTGTTCAATGGCTGCTGGGGCCTGAAACTGCGGTCAAAGGCGGATCTGAGGTGTCACCACAGCAACAACAGTAGCAAAACTATTCTGGCAATTTAAGATAAAAAGCACCTCTAAAATATGATTTGAAGGTTGTGTGTTCTAATGTTAAAGTGTTTCAGTTCTGTCATTGTTTATACACTGTCATGTTGTTTTTAATCCATATGGCTTTCTTTCTTCAGTGAAACACAAATGCAAAGTGGTATGGCAGAATGCATATCCAAGCTGGTCTTTTTCATACAATGAAAGTGAATGGTGAGTAAAGAACATATTTCTTCCTTTTATTGATCATTTCAGAAGGTCAGTTCAAGTACGTTGCATTGTGTGCATTTTCAGATTCTATGCATACAGAAAATGTGTATACTGGACACAGAATAAAGTACATACTGTATTGCCAAAATAGTACGAGAAATATGTTAGTATGCTACTGCAAATATAGCCAGAGGGTTTGCACACATCCTCTGACAGCTGCTTTGGTGTTCATTACAGTGTTTGAACAATCAGCCTCTTTGCTGTCAGCTTTGAGCACTTCTGCCCCCTAGTGCATATTGAAAGAGCACTGCCGATCACAAAACTACAATCCAGAGAGGAAGGAGGTGTGGTATTGTATTCAAAAGATGTCATGCTAAAAAATTTCTGCCAATAAAAAAAAGTAGGCTACTGTTGGAAAAAGCATGTCCAATGATCTATGAATTTACCACAGCACCATAAATGCGCTCTACTCTTTTAGGTCATTATTTGTTACTGTACATAAGTAGACTGTGTTGTAATTGTTTAAGTTTATATTGTAATAGATTACAAAGTAGAGCACTAAAAAGATTGTGATAATGAGTTCATGTTAGTGTTGTATTATAGGGCTTGTGAACGTTTATGGTTCAGCCTTGACCTACTTAGTCACACCTGGCCTCTGTACACTTACAAAAATATCTGTATCTAGTCACGTACTAACTATCACTCTATCACAAGGCTTCTGGCTTTGTGCTCTTTCATTGTCTTCAGGGAAACTTCTGAATTGAAAGACGATGCCGCCACCATCTGACGATTATTTGTTGTCGCAGTTAGGCTATTCCACCTTACCTCGCAGTTACAATGCCCTCATACTGTATATTCAGAAATATTACCAAATGTATTAAGATATAATAATATATTACGAAAGGCTATAATAATTGTGATACAAAAAATATTGGGAATGCAACATTAAAACCATCAAGACAAATACAGAAATAAAGGAAGCATACTCAAATTTTGCACAGTGTTGAATTGGGTTTTTTTATGTTTTAAAGGTAAAAGTTTAATCTTGTGTTATGTTCCTGTTTAGGTGGTGTAATCACACGTAGGTTAGTTTCAGAGTTGCCAAGTCCGCGTATTATACGCGACTTTGGGCTTCTTTTTTTGCAAAGTTGCGTGGAAAAAATCCCAAGTCGTGGGTTGCGGTTTTTTGGACTTATTTAAAATATGGTTGCTTGTTAGGGAAATCTAACAAGCAACTTCGTTTCTTTGTTCGCCGTATTCTCCAATGCATTGATTGACACTCTGTCTGCTCACAGTTAATAGCCAACCAGTGCAATAATAATGCTGTAGGTAATTTGCCAAATGTTCCGCCCCCTCCTTTTCTCTCATTGGAGAAAAATCACGTTCAAAAAGAAGGCGCGTGACGCTGAAATCCAAGCGATGATGGACATAGAGGAGTGGGATGACTTTCTTTTATACGGTAGCCTAATTTTTAATTTTTATAACCAGTGCAATAATAATGCTGTAGGTAATTTGCCAAATGTTCCGCCCCCTCCTTTTCTCTCATTGGAGAAATATCACGTTCAAAAAAGAAGGCGCGTGACGCTGAAATCCAAGCGATGATGGACATAGAGGAGTGGGATGACTTTCTTTTATACGGTAGCCTAATTTTTAATTTTTATAATGTTTTTGTAATGTATTAATTGTCACGGGCTGTAATAAAAAACAAGTAGTCCTATACTAATACTAAGAGTAGGCCTATATACATTTGGTTCAAATAGCCTATATTTTAGTAGGCTATAAATATGTTGCTATGTTCAGTGTTGGGAAGGTTACTTTGAAAATGTAATAGGTTACAGATTACAAGTTACCCTATTTAAAATGTAATCGTAGTTTAACGTTTTCAATTACTTTATTAATGTAACTGATTTCTTTTGATTACTTTTTGATTAATGCCGAGGCCATCTGCTTGCCTTGTAGTACATTAAATAATAACTATATATCGAATTTGATCTTTTAATTGCACTTAATGTATCTTAATACATTAAGCCATGTTAAGTGTTTATGTTTTTCTACAGGAGGAAAACGCTTAGCGAGAGACTTTGCGCATTGCGTTCATATTCTGCGGTCCTATGGCCACGGATTTGCGGGTCTTGTCTTTTTCTCCTACAGATGGCTTGCAGGACCCTGTACGTTACGGTAGTAAATTAGTTTTAATCGTTTAGTCACCACCACAGCGTCCTGTCTCCATTGGCAACACGCACGATTTGTGTCGATTGCATCGATTGGTATCGGAGAGTGCAAGTGGCGATTGCAAGTGACTTCGTAATTTAGTTTCTTTTGTTTTGTCTTCACCACCTGGCTACTGTTGTAAAATGTTGAGAGATTCAAACAAAAAGAAAAAATAAATAGAACAAAATAAAAAAATAAAGACTGCAAGTGACGTCGCTAGCGGAAGTGCAAGTGTCTGAGAGTGCAAGTCTGAGAGTGCAAGTCTGAGAGTGCAAGTCTGATGCCTTGTCCATATACCCACACTTGCTGTCTTGGCCACTTGAGAGCGCGTGCGCGTGACAGGAAGTTAGTGCGCAAGACTGTCCCAGGCCTTAAAAATGGCAAACCGCAGTGCCCTTAACGCACATTAAATCATTCTCGAATACCGCTCCGGAGGCTATTTGAGGCTTAGTGTATGATGGCATGCATCATGTTCTGGAAATAAATCGTGAGACTTTTTTGCCGAGATCTCGCGAGAGGTAACGAAAACCTTCCCAATGTAAGTTAAATATTAATATAATAATTAGATATTACATATAATTTGGTAGTAAAACAAAATGCTACACGTTTTATTGGTGCAAAGGTGAGTATATTTATTTTGTACATCATTTGCAACTGCTTTTTATCACTTAATTAGAAGCACAAGAAATGAAATGGTGTCATTTCTGTTATAGGGACTACTGAACAGACATTTAGAAGTTTATTTTAAAATGCAAAGTATTGAAAATAAAAATAAAGCTATGCATAAACGCTTGCATTTTTACAACACTACAAGTGTGTCCCATGAGGTAATGAAAAGTTCAACACACACTTGTGGTCTTCATCCTCACTTGAACACTTGGGCCAAATACAGGAAATACGTCATATAAGTAGTGAAGGGGTCAAGTGTGTATGGCAAGCCATTTTAGCATTTAAAAGTTTGTTTTGACTATCCATAAATATAATTTAAGATAGGAACAATTGTATTTTGACGAGTCATAATTATAATTTGACTAGACACAATGACAATTAGAGATATCTGCAATTATAATTGCACTAGTAAGAAATCGGATTAGAGATATCTCTAAATACTTTATGACTAGTCAAAACTCCATTTAAGATATCTGTAATGACGTCACAGATATCTTCAATAGACGTGTCACACATACACAAATGTAATTAGAGATATCTCTAATTCAATTTCGACTAGTCACAATTATATTTTAAGATATCTGAATTGTACTTGCTCCTGCTGTTGTGTGACGTGAGAATAAATTTACTCAGCTCCTCCCCCCACACCAGAGCTTTCATCGACATACTATTTATTTTCTGTGGTTGGGAAACCATGGCGGCTGCGGTTCTCGACAAAATCGCAAGAAAAGACGTCAGGGAAGTTGTGGTGAGAGAGAACTTCTGCGATTGATAATTGCTCAAGAAATGCACAGCGAATTGCACATTTCCTATCTCCTGAGACATTTCAACAACTTAACACAAATCTCGATGATATTCGAACGATGGTGTCATCACATTTACAGAGTGAGGGAACTGGAGCTTTCTCCATCTCTCGAAGTAGATCAGGTGAGTTTCAAGCTTTTAAAAATCTTTGTTTATTTTCAGTAACCTAACCTCATACATGAGGCGTCTACAAAAGTTCCTGTTTTCCTTTTAATTTGTTTGTTTGTTTATTCTTCTTTGGTTATTATGCTTAATTTTTGGCTTTATGGTCACCATTAATGATATAGATCCTAACTGAAAAATTACATAAAAATGTACATATGCCCCTCAGACTGAAGCATTAAAAGTAACCATTAGGCCTACAACAATATATCTCTGGTGTACATGCTGTGTATTCACTTAGCTTAACTAAATGGAAAATGAATGCAGTGTGGGTAGATTTATAAGACAAATTAAAAATTATATATCAACTATTGATAAAATAATGACTGTATAACAAGTTGTATGCCTACATAATGTTATTAAATGGATATTATCACACTCCAGTATACTTTATTTACCTTTAAAAATGACAGAAACCGTGACTCCAACATCTTTTTCAAATATTGCCTTTCAAGTTCAATGATTAAAAGTTAAATGATTCAATGTTTTTTCTTTCATCTTTGTATTTAGCCCCCCATGTTATCTAATGTTGTCATTATTTTTCTAATGTTATTGTTGGTTGCCATTAGGAGCTGAATGTCAGCACAACAAATACATGTTGTTTTTAATTGCAGGTACGCGAGGTAGACCAGCCATTCAAATAACGCGTGACCAAATTGAAATTTTAATGAAACAAGGTCACACAGTGAAGCGAATGGCAAGAATATTGGGGTGCTCCTCCTCATTCCTGTACAAGAGGTCCAAGTTGCTTGGTTTGTCAGTCAGGAGCAGAATGGCAGGAGTGGATGATGAAGAACTTGAAAATGTAGTAAGACGACTTCAGTGCCAGTATCCAAATTCTGGGAATGAGGTAAATTCTTGGTCTCACTTTAACGTCTGTTCTTAAAGTTCATAAAGCAATTAATATAACTTTTTTTATATTCAATACACCCATTTTAGATGATGCGAGCCTTGCTGATAGCAGAAGGATTGAGGGTTTCACGGCATAGGGTGCGTGAGATGTTGGTTCGTGTCAACCCAGCAGCTGCTGCAAGGAGATGGAGTAGCACAGTGGCTCGAAGAGGGTATCACGTGCCCTTTCCCAACAGTCTGTGGCACATTGATGGCAACATGCGCCTCATAAGGTTAGTTAAATTACAGGTAGTTGAGATTCTGTCAATGCAGCATAAAAATAGCATGACAGTGCAGACCTGCATTAGCCAATTCTTGCAGGTTAATAGAAACTACAGCCAAATGTAAATGCACACCTGAATACCCCAACCATATATGCGGATTGAATGTTTAATTTCAGTTAAAAGTTGGTTCTCCTTTCACTGTTGTTTTGGCCATTCCAAAGCTTTTGTAACTGAATATCAATGTATGCAGTAAGATTTGGCCTGTCTGGAATTACAAGAGTAGGTGAAGGCAGTAATTTTTGGCCATATTGTCACTCAGCACAACAAAATTGACTTCTTACATTATTCAGTGTTGTGGTAAATGTTCATTTTAAATATGAGGACTTTAAATATGTAGGTTTGATTTAGTTTGATCAGGTTTAGGTTACAGCTAAACCTTTATTCTAAGTGTACAAATAATCATGTACTACAATCTAAAGTAATGGATAAAAAAATGATAAATGATTGGTGTAGTCATGAATTAAGAATTGGGTACCTAAGCTGACATTGTGTATTTTGTATTGCATGATACTACAGTATTTAAATCACCATATGGTCCTGTTTGAAACCGTTTAAAGTTAAAGCATTAAGGCATTTTAGATTTAAGAGTAAGACTTTTTGTAAAGCTGCTTCAAAATAGTGTGTACTGTGATAACCGTACTAATACAATTGACAATATTAATTATAAATACATTACAAATTGTAATAAGTAAAATGATTATAGGTTGTCTGTAGTATACAGTATGTATTACTTATGAGTCCAGTTATATATACTTCCTGATTTCTTGATTAAAACCTGCTTTTATTCACCATTTATTTCATGGTCTATTATAAATTGGATAAGCTGTACTTTATTATTTGAGAGCCCAGTTGTAAAAGTTAACCTGTTTCCAATATAAAAATGTATTTTGGGACATCGAGCATAACAGCAAACCTGAAAAAAAGTTGAACTTGTTGGTTTTGTTAGTTTCTTCACAAGGTAAATACTTTTTATAACAATTTACTTATATTTGCGTCGTCTTTTTATTCCCTTTTAGATGGGGCTTTGTGATTCACGGTGCCATTGATGGATATTCACGACTTATCACGTACCTAAATTGCAACACCGACAACTGTGCCAGCACCGTACTTTCTCAGTTTATACAGGCAACATGCCTTTATGGCCTACCCTCTAGGGTAAGGTCAGATCATGGAGGTGAGAACTTACAAGTGGCCTTCTTCATGAACCTTGTACTAGGACTTCAGCGCCGGAGTCACATCACCGGTGAATCGGTTCACAACCAAAGAATTGAGCGTTTGTGGAGGGACGTATTTTTACACATATTGCAACCAATCTATAGCATGTTCTACAATCTTGAGGATTCTAAACTTTTGGATCCCAGCAATGACATTCACAAACTTTCAGTCCACGTAGTTTTTCTTCCACATACACAAAGTAGACTTCAGCACTTCAAAGAGGCATGGAATCACCATGCTTTGCGCACAGAAAATAATAAAACACCAACACAAATATGGACAGAGGGAATGCTCTCAAGGATGGAAACTGACAGCACAGCCATCAACAATGTGTTTGGAGACAATCCCTATAGGCCTGAAAATTTACATGAACTCCTGGCTCAACATGGCATCGAGCCTTTGCCCACAGCTGAAAATGAAGAGATCCCAGCTGTAACTGTAGTGCAGCCTCAAATAAGCCTTACTCAGCAGCAAATGGAAACTGTTTCCCATGCTCTTGACCATATTACAGATTTGAAGATGAAGTTTCAGGTGTGTTGTGCAGAAATTGCTAATGTTTTTGCAAATTAGTGTTACAGACTCTTTCTTTTTTAACATTTTAATGTGATTTTAACTGTAACATGGCAACAGTCTGTTGAACATTAAGTTTCAGTAGTCACATTGAACAAAGTTCAAATGAAAAACAAGTGGACAAAAATTAAGACCTGAACAAACTAAAATATTAATCCATTATGTCTGTGTAAACCATGACTAATTGCTCTTTTTTTTGTCTCAACTGTTCTAGTCTAGATTTAAACTAGTTCGGGCAACACCAAAACCTGGGCTCTGCACAGTTCCTTCTGTCATGTGTTTCTTGACATTTCATACTTTCAGTAGTATGTAACGACATTGAACAAAGTTTAAATGAAAAACAAGTGGACAAAAATGAAACAAGACTTGAACTGTAAAAATGTGAGTCATGTAACAGTAAATGCATATGCATAATGAAAAACAATGAGTTTTCTTTTGGAACAAATGCACATCTCAAACATGTATTTGACGTAACAGTGCTTCTTAAAGGGAACAATAAGGTCTACTCTGCAGTAACTGCACCTAAAGTTATTTTATGTACTTTATATGAAAAGCTAACATTAAAACAGTTTTAAGAAACATGAGATATCCATTATGTCTGTGTAGATCATGACCTATTTATCTTTTTTTTTCTTAACTGTTCTAGTCTAGATTAAAACTAGTTCAGGCAACACCAAAACTTGGGCTCTGCACAATTCCTTCCGTCATGTGTTTCTTGAACATTTCATACTCCGTGTGTATTGGCAGGCGAAGTACAATGAGGCAAGTATTGGCCTCTGGAAAAAATTTTCCATCTTGATGGAGGAACTCTATTTGTGGGTGGTGGGGGAAACCCAGCGGTGGCACTGTGTAGGCTCCAGTGGCAAACTCCATGATCATCTCCAGAGTGACTGCATTGCACTCCCCTTCTGCAAAACATAAGTAGGGGAAATACTCTAACTTCATAAAGAATGTGTGGTAAGTGCAATTATTTCACATCTATCAACCAGTCTCTCCAGTGGCATATGGTCTGGTTTTCTCTAGCCCTCCTGTTGCTGCCTTGTGGGGAGAAGTTTACATTAAATAGACTGCAGAGGTCCTTTGCCTGAAGGGGCTTCTCATCACTAACAAACATGTCATAAAACAATGCAGAATTTTTCTGCATCTCATCCAGTAAACCAAGAGTTTGCAACCCTTCTGAAAACCTGTGTAACAAACAAAGCATTCAAAATAAGTTTCAAGCTAATGATATATGCTGATATATATTGTCAGGAAAGCAAAGGCACTTACTGTTCCAAGGCAACTTGCAGTCTTCCATTCACAAAGAAATTAAAAAAAAAAGTTATTTTCTGTCAGGCTTGATACATATCTCAAAGCACCAATGATACTTAGATGATGCAACCAATGATACTTAAACTGTCTGCAGCCTCTGCAATGGCACAATTTGCCTCCAGAACAGATGTTGCTTCCTGTATCTAAAACAGTAAAAAAAAAAAAAAAAAAAAAGCATTTGTGTGTGGGGGGGGGGAGCTTCTTCTCTTAAAATAAGTATTAACTGGTTAACTTATTTCAACTCTTAAGCATCTCCTCACCTTGATTAGCTGCTCCCTCAATGTATGATCTCCAACCTCATCCAACGAGGCAGGGGATGTTGGCATACCACAGATCTGCTGAAAAAGCCTTTCAGAGAAGAAATGTGGGCCAACTCCTCCATGGACAACACACACAGCAATCATCTTCCCAATTACTGTGTATAACCTAGTCTGCAAAGCTAAAGTAAAACAAAGAAGAAACCTTCATATCAGAAATTCCTATAGAACAATTATTCATGTTTTTAAAAGTTAAAAAAATTCCCCCAATCATCACAGGCTTAATGTTTAGTATTTGGATTCAAGTGATCTGCTCATAAGCGGACAGGTTAAAAAAAAAAAAAATCACTGTTACATTTTTTTTCTAATGTAACACAGTGATGCACACAGTCCTGAAATCATAGACCTTTACCAATCCAAACAAGTGATTAAGAGAGAGAAATGTATGCAGGGCTCTGCACTTACGTTTATTTTTAGGAGCACTTGTGGAGCACAGGAAAAAAAAATTCAGGAGCACCTTCTGATCAATAATCAATTAATCATTTAAGAGGTAACATTTGACTCCCTAAAGTGATTTACAAGGGGCATTTTTGTAACTTTTTAATGTAACTTTATTGAAAGTATGTCATCTTATGCCAAATTCAAGAGTGTATATTTATAAGGTTTTTCAAAATGTATAATAAAAAAAACAGAATAAGAATAAGTTATTTTACTGATCAAAAACTAAGTATTAAACAAAAATGATTTGCACTACAGAGGTGGCACAGAAGTGGCATGTAGGTATATTTACATGAGTGCAATTAAATTCATGTTTAGAATGTTTTAAATATAAAACTGACTGTCTTTATGAAAAATTAAAAGCATTCACTCATCACAATTTCACAAAGTTCCTTTATAATCAGTGAATCTCTTATTTACATTGTGTCTACACTTTGCTTGTTATAATGAGAAGATTCGTGAGCTTGCATAACTCAGCACATTACTCAACGCTGCAAAAACACATTGCAAGTAGAAATCATTGAAGCTCCCCAAGCAAATATGCTGATTGGGTCAGGCGCACTGGTGCTCCTAAATATTTTTTCCATAGTCGCACGCAGTAGTTTTCAGAAATTGTCACACTGTAGAGCCCTCATTAATGTGATTATGTGGGTAGGTTTTTTTCCTACTATGGCAACAAATGAAATGGGTAACGGTTACCCATATTTTTCAAAATATCTTTTGTGTTCAACAGTAGAAACTCCGTAGAAAAACAGATTTTGAACAACCTGCTAAATGAATGAGTAAATAAATAAAAAATTTTTAAGAGAACTATCCCTTAAAGTGCACTTGCAAACTCTTACTTGCAGTGCTTTCATGATGCAAAATTAGTAACCTCTCTGATTCGTGGATCTCACATCAAGCATAAGTCATAAGCCAGTCATAACACACACAATTCTACCATTATATTTAGCATTACAACATAACCTGACACAAAAGTGTTTTGTTTTGCCAGGCGTACTGACCTTGAGTGTCAAGAGCCAAACTCCGATCTTTCTCATGGCCCTGGGAAATCTTTGACTGATGGATGGCTCGCATCAACAGTCGCATGTATTCTCTTGACGGGCCACCTTCATCCACTGCCCCTTCACCTTTCTGCTCAGCATCAACAAAAACTATATCCAGTTTTGCTTCTGGGTTAAATCTTCGCCGCTTAAATGCTTGCAGACTGCACTGCAGTATGTTTTCTCTGCATATGTTGATTTGGTTCACTGTTGGGCAGAGGTTTTCATCAACTTTACTAAGCAGTTTTTTTAGAATGGTTTGTAGGTCAACCCTGCAAGAGATAAAGATTGGACAGGTTTCAGTCAAATGCTGAACACTTTTGTATGTTTTCAAATATTGCTAGTTGCATAAAGACCCGTTCAGACATACAGAGACTTCCAAGGACAAAGCATTTGCTGGCGGCTTTGGAGACATATGCTAAGTGACAGCAACCACTGCCTACAGGGCGTAGGCATGTACAGCTATGCAACAAATTTGAGAAAAGTTTAACCGATAGGAGTGAAGACTGTCATTATAGCTCTCATGTAACCCATCTTAAGTGCATGCACAAGAATTTGAAATTCTACTGTTCTATGAGTTGTCTGTAAAGCACAAACATGAATATAATAAAAGGATGTATGGAATGCGGACTGTAGGCAGTCTTATTCTTTGTGTTCTACTGTACTGCATTCTAACTCTACTGCACTAGACAGGCATCTTTAAATGGTGTGCTCATCTCTTACCTCTTTTCACATTTTCGGAAGGCCAAATAAAGTGCTTTTGCTTTCGCCTAGAAACACACAGCGTCTCCCTGACATGCTGCTTCAACACTAACTGAAACCACGCCTTCTTTCTTTGCGTGCACATTTGGGCAGCATTATGCAAATATGTCCACATAGTGAGGTAGATATGTGGGGGCGTGTTAGAACGAGCCGTTTTAGGGGGGCGTGGCAGAGTCTTAACTTTGATAGAGAATATCTCTTTGGTTTTGAGACTTTAGTCTTTGCAACTTCAGGGATCTTATCTATGCACAATCAGCTTGTAACACTCCAAAGAGAAAGGAAAACTTGAAATCGCATCATATGACCCCTTTAACTCACATCATTCATCTAGTTCATTTCAGTACAGACTAGTGACAAAGTTGCTGTATGTGACGCAACAGAAGTCCTTCAAAAATGCATAAACATATTTTTTAAGAATTACTAGTGACTAATAGCAACATACTCATCTATAGGTGCCACATAGTGAAGAGGGGAATCCTGGTGGGAAAGAGTAGGGGAAACAGACCTCTCTTGATCTGTAAGATCAATGACTGATGACTGGGGAGATAGAGGACTAAGTGGTGACTGGTCTTCAAGGAAAATGTCTGATTCCTGGTCAAAGGCTAGAGAAACTAGAGTCTGGGCAAAGGGAGGAACAACAGGAGGCTGGGCAGAGGGCGGAGCCACTAGAGGGTGGGCAGGGGGCAGAGCCACTAGAGGCTGGGAAGAGGGTGGAGCCACTAGAGGGTGGACAGAGGGCGGAGCCACTAGAGGGTGGACAGAGGGCGGAGCCAATAGAGGCTGGGCAGAGGGCGGAGCAACTGGAGCCTGGACTGAGGACAGAGCCATTGAAGACTGAGCAAAGGGAGGAGCTTCTGAAGGCTGGGTAAAGTTTACCGGGTCACAATGTATTTCCTGAAATGAAAAAGGACAAAACTACAACGATGAAAAAAAATCATGATTTAATCACTAAGGTTAGGTCACAAATATAAATTTCTCAATTTCAAATGATTCTCATTTGAAAAACTGTCCAGCTGTTGACAAAAAACAGGCAGGCAATAACATGTATAAACAAACCCTAATAATGCTCAACCACCTGTCAGTGTGGCCTCTGACTTCATAGGTGACAAGGTGTTTTAGCACAACAATTTATATATTTTTTGTTATTATTTCAATATGGCCCATGTTATCAGTTCTCAATTAAGCATGTGTCTGACAAGTGTGTTTAAGCCCAACGGAGCTGTATCAAGGTCTCCCTGACCTGTGCTCATTGGTGCCATTACAGGGCAGAAATAACCCTATACCCAAACCTTTTAATAACATTTAATCAATCCTTAAAATTTTTAACAAGTAAATGATGCTGTCAGGGCAAAAACTCAAACACTGCATATGGTCAAATGAAAATCATGATGAAAAAGACCTCTTGTTCAAGTAAAACTGCTATGTTAACTTACCAGATTATCCAAAGCTGACATCCAAAGGACGTACAAAGTAGAGGATGGTTTTATGCCATGATCTGCAATTGACCCAGCAGAAGTGCTCTCAACATCTTTTGAAGATGCAGCTTCCCTGACCTTAAAAACTTCACTGGCCATTTCATCTTGTCCAATAAAATCAAACAGGACCTGAAAAT